CAGCAACAGCAACAGCAACAGCAACAGCAGCAGCAGCAACAACAACAACAACAACGGCGAGGGCGCGAGCACTGGCATGTCCGGATTCGAGCCTGCGCAGCTTGCGGCGAGTTCGGCGGCGGCGAGCGTGGTGCAGCCTGCGGGCGGGGGAGCGGGCACGGCGGCGCAGCAGGCGGCAGCGCAGAAAGAGGCGGGTACGGAGGCGCGATTGCCAACGTCGCTGACGGATCTGGTGTCGTCGTTTGAGTCGGCCAAGCAAAAGTCGCTGCAGCGCGAGGCGAATTCGGGGCTGGTGCACAAGTCGCTCGAGTCGTCGTTTATGAATGTGCCCGAGGCGGTGGATTCGGATCGACCGCGATACTATGTGCCACGCAATCCGTTCCCCACGCCGAGCTACTATCCGCAGACGCCGGCGGGGGTGTTTGACAATCCTGCGCTGTACGCCAAGTTTGATGTGGACACGCTCTTCTACATCTTCTACTACCAGCAGGGGACGTACCACCAGTACTTGGCGGCCAAGGAGCTCAAGAAGCAGAGCTGGCGATTCCACAAGCAGTACCTCACGTGGTTCCAGCGCCATTCGGAACCGCAGGCGATCACCGACGAGTACGAACAGGGCGTCTACGTCTACTTTGACTGGGAGGGCAGCTGGTGTCAGCGCAAAAAGAGCGACTTCCGGTAAGTTTTTTTCCTCGGTAGCGCAGAAGAAGCAGCGCCAGAAAGAGACGAGAGTAAGAGTGTGGGATACTGATGTCTTGTTTGTCTGGTTTTGCGGATCGGGTAGATTCGAGTATCGATGGTTGGAAGACAACTAAGCGCGTCTCTCTCACACCGGCCGATTGTTAGTTGCGAAGAAGAAAAAGCAAAGTGATTGATTGGTACATTGCGTGGCGGCGCATTCTGGCTGCGAAGAGGGATGCGAGGCGAGCATTGAGATGTGGGGGATGATCGGAAGGGTGAGTGCCGTTGGCAAGTTTTGCCGATCTGGCGGGTGGGAAGCGAGGGCGTTCGAGGCGGCGGTACCGTGGGCATCTGTGCATAAAGTTGGGAAGCGAAGACAACCGACCGGTCCACCGGTGCATTGCAGGCCAATGCGCATCCGAAGCGAGCCGAGAGCAGCGATCCGCCAATTCACGCAGGCTGGGGATGATGCGCTCGGGGCTCGGTTTTTTGGATTCCGAGCCTTTGTTTCTTTTCTCCGGACAGGAGCCGTGGAGCGCGGCGAGGTCTTGGAGCCGAGATGCACAAACCGCCAGGCTGGCGAGGAAGCTGTGACTCTCCGTCGGAATCCACCGAGGCTTGGGATGCTCCGTCCGCCATGTTCTGGCTTTTGATCCGCTGTTGGAGAAGCCAGGCAAAATGTGATGGGAGCCAAGACGCACGCGCGCGGGACAAGAACAAAGTTTACCGCCCAGCAGCCGCTTTCAACTCAAAAATGTCCGGTTTCATAGCCTTCGAAAGATTCACAGTCCGCCCGTAGAAGCCGCGCCTCGCATTGTGCCGAAAAGCCGCCCAAAAAAACCGGACCCTTGCATGGAAAAGTGAGGGCTTGGATCTCGCAGAGGATGCCAAGCATGCTCGTGGTGGGGCGCAGCCAAAAAGCACAAAGCACCGTTCGCATCAGGTCCGAGTGCACAAGAAGAGAAGCAGACAAGGAGGAGCGTGCGGAGGCGGCGGCCGAGCGTCGGATGAAATCACACAATCCCTCTCGACCGATGCAAAGAGTACAGTCACGCACGCATGCTGCCAGCCTCAGCCAGCCTCAGCCAGCCTAGAGGCACAGATGCAGGGTTGCATGCGATCTGCGCACTCCACCTGCCTCCCCGCCTGCCACCGCACCGCACTCCACCGCACTCCACCGCACTC